TGACTTTTCTAAGATGACAGATGCTGAATATATACTCCCTATCTGATGCTGTGGCTGTTTGTGGTTGGCTGAGAGGGATGTGAACTCATTAGTTTGCAGCTGTCTTAATCAAATCAGGTTGGGTTTCCATTACGCGTGCCAAACGGTGCCAATCCCCTTTGATCTGACATCAGATGTGACGGGACAGTCGATATAGAGATACATTTATGTGCTGATTGCAGATAGTTGCATTGAATAGTGTTTTTTTGGGTATTTATTGCATTGTTAATGTGCCTGACATTCTGGAAACCTGCCTGTGAGGTTTTGGTGACATGTGCGCACTGTCCACCGGTCAGCCAAACTTCGGCTTACACCGGCTGCGCTCCCCCTGCGCTGACAGTAGACCTGGTTTCAGCTGGCGAGCTTTTAGTGCACCTTTGGCGAAGCCTTTTGGCACGAAACTGTCATTGCGCCAAGCTGGATCTGTCGACACCTCCCCCTGCTGCACCGCCACACCCATCTCAGCGCAACTCGGTCTGCCAAACTACCAAACTGAGCGCACCTTGGGTTGCGCTGCTCGAAACCAGCTCTGCATGGGGTTCGCTACCCTGCGCCGCACCGGGAAACTAGAGGCTACAGTGTAGTTTACCTTATATTGATTTGATTGATTTTTATTTGTGTCACGCACACATCAGTGTGCCCAACCCTCATTGGTTTATAAGACACCATTACAATGATGTTGCAGTAACCATCAAAAGTGCATATTATTTAACTACTCAGTCCAGAAACAGAATACTCTGCTCTCTATCCCAGGCCTTGCATAGAAATTCAGCAACAAAAAAGGTTCCCTTTCTGAAACAAAACTCAAATTTTTCATGATCATCCAACCAAAAGAAATCAACATAAATAGAGATAATTTTACTTAAAAGTACATTCCCTATGTCTTCATATGCAGGACAGTAAAACAAGAAATGAACCTCATTCTCAACATCACCTAAATTACACAACAAACAAATTCTGGCCTCCTCTGGGGTGGCTCTAAGCCTAGTGGTAACGTTCTGAGCACAACTGTGCACAAAGTAATCTTTGTCTTTTGTTTAGATTGTACTTCATGTAAGGTTCCACAATGTAGCTATTCTTTATGAGACAATATGTTTGTAGTTGTTCAAATAAAATAATTATTTTAACTCATTAGCCCAGGGATGATAGTTGGAGGCGTCCCAATTAAAAATCTTTTTGGCGAGTCTCTGATCCGACATCTTCACAAGACTGTTCCAAAGCCGAAGCATTTGACATATATACATATAAACAGCATATATTATTCTGGGTAACAGTATTAAGACTTAGATTTAGATTCAGATGGATTGTTATAGAACATATTCCAGCATATTTTTCATTAACAAAACACTAACCTAGACACACGATAATACAGTGACAATGGCCAATAACCACTGGTTTAAAGAAAAACCCTCAATTCTCTTTAAGTATTTCAAATATTCCTTTTTGTCCTCTGAAGACAAATTAATTTATGTCTTCTTTGTGTACAAAGAAGTGAAAATTTATAGTTAAAAAAGAGAGATTTGTATTGTAAGACTGTCTATCTCATGAGTATTTCAGACAGGCTGCAGTTTTTAGTCGTGCTTATTTTGTTTCTCCAGTTTTTCAGTGAGATGTAAATAATATAATCACATAATCACTTTTACTTTTTAAGTGTTTCTTCTTTGGCCAGTAGCATTGATTTGCTCTTTTCAGTGAGTCGTGCATCTTAGCTCAGTCAAAGAAAGAGGCATTCAGCTTTCTTTGATAAACAAGTTGATTATAGGAATGAATCCAAGAATTTGTAATAACATTATGAACAATTATAGATAAATTGTCGTGTATAGCTGTTTCGACTGCCATCTTTTAGCCATTACAGCATGAAGCTCTGTACAATGATGGTGGTAGAAATCCAAACCACGATGATGAACCAGGGTGTCTGCAGGTCCTTAAAAAAAGTCTTAATTGTCTTAAATTCAATTTTATAAATATTAGGCCCTAAAAGTCATTAAGTAGACTTAAATTTGAATTTTTGAGGTTTTTATTGGTACAGACGTTTTATGTGATTTCATTTATTTGTCTTTTTGTTTCATTTTTTCAAAATGAGTCACAGAGTGTGTGAAAGTCCTTATTTCTGATGACCTACTACTGAACCAAATACTGTCTCTTTTTACTTTATACTTGCACACCTGTTGGCAAAATCTTGATTAACCTAACTCACTCTGATAAACATATTTCTACATAAAACCTACCTCTGCACGGGACTGCATATATGCTACTTAACTTCATTCTGCAATGCTTGAATCAGAAAAAGATAATTTTTCCTAAAAATCACTCAAATGGGTCCAAACTATCTCGAAAAGGTCTTGAAAAGTATTAAATTTAAGAGTCTGAAACAGGTAGAAACCACAGTGACAGCTCTAATATACAGTACTTTCTTTTGAATCTGCATTTTTACCCTTTTGAATCACCAGATCTTTTGATTGGTTGACCCTGCGAGCCAAATGTTGTGTCACCCAGCAGGTTTTGTATATTAACTTGATTGCTAATGAATACAGTGAATACAGAGGATAAAGAGTGGAGCATGCAGCCTTGAGATCAGACACAAAGTGCTCCTACAATGAAGGAATTTAACTCTGAACCTCAGCGGATCCAGGGTTTCAATGTGATATACTCTTTGAACGTACTGTATGTTGTATCAGTAATTATATAATGACATAAACAGTGTTGTGTTGATCTTATTTAACTCGTCCACCTTTGGGACCTTGTCTTTTTTGAATAAGCACTAAAGCTTGTAGAAACAGCAACTTTTTGCCCTTTGAAATTCTGTTCTAATGTCGCTCGATGGATGGCAGTTGGTGGCCACAATAACTTGGTAGTGGCTGTGTATCTGTAAATTTATTTCTATGTTTTTTGTCTCCAGTGGACAAAAAACAATTAACTTTAGATTACATCACTTTTTAATTTATTTTCCACAAGAAATTCAGCATTTTATTTATTAATCTACTATTTAATTAAAAACTCTTAATCTTAGTTTTATTTTATTATTTGTTTATTTGTTATGCATTTAATGAAATTATATGACATAGTAATACTGGAGTTACAAATCATTAAAGGTCCCCAAAGAAATTAGAAAGGCCAAAGCCAACTTTTTCATTAATATGATAAGCAAAGGGTACACTGAAATTAATTTGAAAAATATCTGAAAATTCTGTCAGGGAAAACCACTGACAAAGCAAAACACCAAATACAAATTAACTTGAATGGCAACTTAACACAAGACTCAAAGAAAATTATGACCGCTTTTAATACCTGTTTTGGTAAACCAGTGAAATCTTTTACCCAGAGTTTGAACACTAGGCCCACTACTTCTGTGTCTGTGGACGAGACACAAGCAGTCTTTAACTTAACACCCATCACACAAACAGTCGTACATAGGGTGATAGACCCCCTACGAAACTCAAAAGCTTCAGACATGCTTGGACTCTATGTTCCTTAGGAAGTTTAAAGAGTCACTTTCATATCCCATCACCAAGATTATTAATATGTCTTTTGATCAGAAGATATATTATGGGGTCTGGAATTCGGCCATGATAACACCCATTTTTAAAGTGGGTGATACTGCCAACATCAGCAGTTGCAGGCCAGTAAGCATTCTCCTGATTTTGTCCAAGGTCACTGAAAGATGCTCAGCAGAAAAACTAAATGCTCAACTCGACAGCAGCTTCTTTACACTGAACTCCATGCAGTTTGGCTTCAGAGCCCATCATTCCACTGCAACAGCCAAATATCAAAGCCTAATAGGATAAGGGGACGGTTGTTGGAACTGTATTTCGATGCTGTAAATTGTTCTATACTAATCAGCAAAATGGCAAAATTAAATTTTTCTTCTGACACCTTATGCTGGTTCAAATTGGACCTAATGAGAACCCAGTGTGTAAAGGTCAATCGTGAATTGTCACCCATGCTTAATTATGATGTTGGGGTGCCACAGGGCTCTATTCTTGTACCTCTCCTCTTCAGCCTGTATATCATTGATAAGCTATCAGCATGTGTTGGGGCTGACAAATGTATAAATGTATGCAGATGACATAGTAATTTATGTACAGGCAAAACACATGTGCCAACCATTTGGCATATTTTATAATTATGTTTTGATTCATGGTTTTAATTGTTTGCATGCTTTTATGTCTTTCTGTTTTAGTGGCTATCTTAACATCTGGCCAAGGGGAAACACTTGAAATCTTTGGCTAACACTGGCATATATACAGCAACACTTTTTAATGTATACTGTTCCTGTACAAATAAAATAATAAATAAATTGATTAAATTAAAGAGAAACAGAGGGAAAAAAATAAAGAAATATAAAAATAAAAGACGTCAAGACACAAATAAAATAAAAACAAAGGATATAATTTAACTGGTAAAATAGATATCATTCCATAGGATATAATTTACTTACAGTTGATAAATTTAAGTCAGAAGATACATTTTACCAACATAGGACATGATGTTGGGTGCCATAAATACTCACATAAACACACCAAGACACGTGTGTGTTCATGCACATGCACACACCTATTGTCACACACAAATTTTTGAGTATACCCATGTACCAAAAGAAACTACACCTGATATCATATTAAATTATCTTAGTTATCACATTTTACAGATGAGTCATTGGAAATATTGCATGTTCCATACCTCCGCCATAACAAAATCCTTTTCTTTAGAATTAATTATCATCTTTTAATCAATTCCATGTAATTTGTTTATTTATTGCTGCCTTTATTTTTTTTAATCTTTTCTAGTATTTCCCTAAGTAGAAGGGCTAATGGGTTTTTGTTTAGAGAAATACTAAAAATAATGGACAGTTCTCTCATAGAATTTTCCCAAAATCATCTTTCAGTCATCTTTCAGTCATGGCATTGAGTTATCGGCCAAGATTAAAATGTTGCTTATTGTCTGAATTATATTGTTCACAGGATCCTCCAGTTCTTCCAGTCGGCCAGTTCAGTGAGAAGTTTGTCCACTTCATAACTCAGTGGTGAGTCAGTCACTGCTTAACATGCTTTCTTTCCAGAAGGACAGACACTGAAATTATTGTATTCAACACTTTCAGATTTCAAATGGAATTGTGTGTGTTTTCAATGGCTGTTGACTGCGTCGTGCATTTGTTTGGGATTCTAGTTCACAATAGCTTAATATGTGTGGCACAGTCGGCCATCTGAGCCCCACGGAGCCAGACTGAACAATTACAAAGACCACAAGCTGCATTTAACATAGATTAACCAAATTATTGTAGGCGAATCAAAGGTATAATAGTATACAATTAAAGTGCATTTGCTTGTGTGTTAATGCGTTGTGGTTGTAATGGGTTTAGCTATGATATTCAGCACTGCTGAATAAAAAGGAATGATTGATTTATCCGATAAAATAGGACAAAGACAATGTTTACCCTGCGTTTACGTCTGATTCATTAGCTTCTTGTAACCTTTACAGTTGTACAAACATGTACATACACACCTAAACCACATGCAAGCAGTGTGTGTGGGGGAGTGTGTGTTTGTACCATCTGTTGTTTATCCCTCATGCCTGCTTTATTTACTCAAACAGAGCACCTCTCTCTCAGGACAGACTGAGGTACCTGCCCTGGCATTATCTTCTCCCAGGCTATTCTTAGAAGGTCATGGCCCATTCATTGTAATACATAAACCAGTTGCATGACGAACTGCATACAGGCTCCTGCACTAATTCCTCAAAGTCCCTGATATAGGTCGTTTTACAGAAGGTGTACAGATACATACTGCAGAGGACACTCAGAAAAACACGCATAAATCCACTGCCAATGTGGTAACTGCTTCATTTTTAGTGTTCTCAAGAAATATTAATTGAAATTGGAAATATTAATTAAATGATTCTATTTGAAATAAATGTTCTGTGTTGTTAGGTTATCGTGTTTATTGTCAATCAAGCCCTCTCTTTCAGGCATGAAAGGATTCGAGCCTCCTCTTGAATATTAATTTCTAAACGAAAATTATGCCGTTGAAATAAAAGTTAGAACAAAAATGTCTCTCACACACTTACAAACACAGTTTGAATAGTGGCTGAGTATTGACTGCTTGTATCCCTCTTTTTTTTTTTTTTTTTTTTTTTTTTTTCAGTATGCGACGGCAACCCAAAGAGAGGCCTGCCCCTAATAACCTCATGGTAAGTTAAACAAGACAGTTCCAAGGACCACAAAGTATAAGTTTTGAATAACTCTACAGACAGTGATCATATTCATGCATTCCAATAAAAATTCAATTAAACTGAATTTCGCTATCTCTGTAGCTTTTCAAATACACAATTGTATTTTTCGCAATGATTGAGGTTTTGTGGGTCAAGGACCCTGAAAGTTGGGATTGCTGTGTGGAAACAACAGTAATGAACTTTTTGGTACCAATGAAAGATGTCAGAGAGGTCAGCGAGAAACCTTGAGGTTGGATTGAGACCTACTTCAGTGATAATTTGTTCAATTCACTGCGTTGGAGCTACCCTGAATGAATCAGGCCTAGCTGTTGTAGAAGAGTCAAATAATTCTAGTTTACAAAAATTAAGTGTTATACCCTAATGAAAATTTGAGCAAGGGACAAAAAGGAAATTATTTTTAAGTGTGTCTGCCTTTCTTTTTACATGTAACGATGAGAACGCATGCCCATGAACACTTTTTCATTTTAACAGATATAATTAATTCTCGAAACCCAAAAGTTTGCTGTCACCAGAATAACCTCCTGTCTCATTTAAAAATTAGAGACATGTAGAGACCAGAGCTATTTTCTTCTATCATGAATGTAAACTAGTCAGTTTTTTAATTTATTGTACATTACCTTTACCTTCTGGTGTTCCGTGTTTAACAATGGGAAAACTGTAACAAAACATCTATTTAATTTATTCATGCAGTATAATCCAAGTCTCATTTATCCAGTCATATGCTCAGTATTTCTCAAGCAGACGACCCTTTCCGACAGGGAACTGAACTAAAAGTGAAACTTATTTATGCTCTCTTCAAAGCCAGACTCCATCGGCAAGAACATTTTACCTCACTGAACACGGGAGCTGCTGGTCTACTGCTGCCTCAGTCAGTTAGTTTGTTTATGTTTTATGTGACTTTGGTGTTTTAAAGGGTTAGTTCGGATTCAAAAACACTTACCTTCAAAAATTTAATGAAACACAAGGTGAGTGATATTCAGATGGTCATTTGGGGTAGAAATATTCGTTTAATGATGATATTTACTGAGACTTCCAGTCTGAGTTTAAGGCAGCTGTGGTTTGTTGTTTCACATTCAGATTCCAAAGCCATAGTTCATTGTTTCTTAGCACTCTTTGTGACTCTGGAGCAGTCAGTTTTATAGATAAGGAAGAAGACTTCAGGTTCCAGCTCGTTCTGCGAGTGTGTCTGAATGGTATACACATCAAATCACATGCCTCCCTCCCAACATGGACTTGATGACTTCCTCTGTTCTTGCATTAGCACAAGGCCACAGCAGTTTGCACAAACTGCCTTTTAAGAGTTGCAACACGCTCTGGTTTCTGTGTTAGGACCAAGGACAGCGACAGGTCCACAGAGGGTGGGGGGGGGGGGGGGGGGGGGGGGGGGGGGGGGGGGGGGGGGGTTTGTGTTGTGGGGATAGAGGGCTGGAGGGTGTAAATGCAGAGCTGCTAACAGATTGTATGTTCTCAGTCTCACACCAGAAAGGAGGAGTAAAGGGGAATGTTGTCTAGACACTCACTGGGAATTCTTGCCTCAAGACAGAAGTGGTTCTCTTGAGAATGAGACCATGCACTACTTCTCTTGAGGAAGTTGAGCTTGTTGTCTTTGTATTGTGCTGCTCAGTTTTTGCGACTTGTTCACCTTTATTTGAACATAACTTCCATTGTTTGCGTTGAGTGACACCTTTGACTCCAGTCATTAATACCTGTGTGTATAAGTCTCTAGTGGTGAGGATGTGGTTAACGTTTGATGGAAAAATCACATCCAATCCTCTTTTCTCTTATGCTCTGGCAGATGAGTGCCCACTTAACACATCTTCTTGACTGCATTTGTATTCGCACCGTGAAGAAGAATGTTGAAGAATACTTGATGAGACCAATTCATGAGCTCTTTCACATGTCCTCTTGTGGTTTCTCGTGTCCCCCATGACTTGGTTCACACAGTGCTGATTATGGCCGCTATTTAGATTAATCAAAGAGCTAGAGGCGATGATGGCTGACTCTTGGGTCACCTACCATCACCTGTGTCTCAGCCAAAATGTTGCACTTGAACACACTGCAAAGACCACAGCCGATGGCCAACTAGCAGGCGCATTCTGCACCTGGATGAGAGGAGACTCTCCATGCCAGCAGGTGGTGGTAATCTTTATTGGTTAAATAAAATATGGAAACCGGAGGACTGACGAGATGGATTCAAGACGCAGTTAGCACATTAACAACACAACCCAATGTTGAAAGAACAAATTATATTCACCGTGCGCGAGCAAACAATAACACAAACTCTGATGAAGTGTTATTGATAAAGGACTCAATGGCAATAAAAATATTGTCACCTAATATAAGACATGTCTTTTGATCTCACACCCTCTCAACTATAATCATTTGTTTGCTTTCCTCACTCTAGTTTTTCTTCTCATGCACTGAGCTGAACTGCTACTACGGCTGACCTACAGCTTGGTGTGTCAGGGCCTTTGATCGGATGTTTTGCCTCCTTAAACTCATATAATTAGGCTAATGCTTGAATCAAGGTGACAGGCTGTATTAAGAGTTGAACTTCATCAAACAGCATTTCACTCTGTTAAGGCTGTTACTTGTGTTGATAACATATATCAATATTCCTTTGGCAGATAGCATCCCTGACAGTGACACGATACAATTCACTCTTGATTTCTCAGTTAATTCGTGTTGTTACAGTGGTGTCACAGAGTGGAGGTTCTTTACTCTTTAACTGTCTTTGAGAGGTTCTGGCAGCTGCGTTCAGAGAGCAAACTGACAACAGCCAAGTTTAACTTAAGCTTGTTGTCAAGTTTCTGACAGAATCAACAGTAGTTAGTGACAGCTGATATGATGTACTACAGGTGGTTTGTCATTTTAACCACTGAAAGCGACACTAAGCTCTGGCTACAAGAAGCTACTGCTGAATGTTCCCTACACTGCTTTGCTAATAATTATTAGTGTTGGGAGATTAGTTAATCTGTGTGTCTTTCCAACCTCATTTTCTCAACACAGAGTTACTCAACGTTGTGCCCAACTATATTTCACTTCCACACACTTATTCTCACTGAGTGTAGAGCCCCAGTTAGGCTGAAGTGGACAAAAAGAACACAGCAGAGTACAGAAATGACAGGATCAGATTTTGATCTGTATTATTTTAGCTGATACTGATCCTTAAACTGAAAACACACCAAGCACCAGCAAAGTGCGACCTGCAGCCGTGGCCACTCTGCACACAGTGCTGCTGAAAAAAACTAAAAGCTAAGCATAATTTAGTTGACTTTTAGTGGCGAATTGAGGCCAGAGAATACCTGCAGCCAATCAGTAAACAAAGTCCTGTGAATCCTGTGTTGACCTGTGCTACAATTAATTTCTCCCACCTGAAACACATAAACACGCCTCAAAAATTTTTATTATTGTGGCGGCTGCACTTCACTGTTACTTGGAAACACAATTGGCAGAAAATGTTATGCACTTTTCATTTCTGTCTGATAGTACTGCTTAGATTTGAGTCCTTTGTCCTACACAAAAACAAAACATACATTTCATCGTAGTTTTTGTTAATGAGACAGTTTCACAAACAAAGCTTCATTCCAACACAAAATAATGCAGAGCTCGACAGTGCAAGCATTTCACTCACATTTGCGACTAAAAATAGGTGTGTGCGAACTGTAAAAAATATTTAGGGGCACGTGTGCATAAAAAAAACAGCCGAAGCAGCCTATATTTTTGTCAATAAAAAATATGATTATCTAACCACAAATGTTGGAGGAACTCCAGCTGCCTTCCCTCTTCCCTCTTCCCCGTGTGACACGGTTATGGGTGGTTTTCCAAACCACTGTTGGCACAATGAATATAAGTCCCACTGTCGGCTGGGTGGAAATAAGTCAAAGTGTGGAGGAGACGGTACCGGGTTAAGCGGCGGACCTCCGGGGAAGCCTGCTCCATTCTCCCCACAGTTAGGGACCGTTCTCCACGGCCAGGCTGTCGGCTGGGTGGGAATAAGTCAAAGTGTGGCGGAGAAGAGGGACCGGGAAAAGCGGCGGACATCCAGGGAAGCCTGCTCCGTTCTCCCCGCAGTTAGGGACCGTTCTCCATGGCCAGGCTGTCGGCTGGGTGGGAATAAGTCAAAGTGTGGCAAAGAAGAGGGACCGGGAAAAGCAGCGGACCTCCGGGGAGGCCTGCTCCGTTCTCCCCGCAGTTAGGGACCGCTCGCCACAGTACCGCTGCTGGGCAGGGTGGAAATAAGTCCTGCAGAGTTTCAGAGGACCTGGAGAATGTTTTAGGATAGTAATAACATTATATAAGATAATCATATTGCAAAGATAATATATATAAGATAATAACATTAAAGACAAAATTAAATTGCAATAGGCCTACTTTTTCAAAACTTGATGATTTTACCTTTCTGTACATTTTGTATGCAAATTCATTAAATAATTTTGCTTGTAAATGTCTATTTGCATCACGTTTATTACGGAAAACACATTATTTGATCAATTTACATTGTGCCCCTAAAGTTCTTTGTGCACTCCTTACTTTTTCAACTTAGGAGCACATGTGCTCCTTGGGAAAAAAGTTAGCGTCAAGCCCTGTAATGCAAGGACACAATGAGTGTCACAATGAATATCAGATATCACTATTTATTAGACCTCCACTGATTAATATGCAGTGTATCTGTAATTGATCCAGGACCCTGGATCAACCACACACTGCTTCTCCTTCTTTCTGGTTTTTAAATGCTTTGGGGTCATTGTAGCTCACGTGGTGGCATTTTCATCATAGCTCCTGTCAATGTTTCCTTTTTCTCACTCTCCTCCTCCTCTGCCCCACTTCCTTCACATTCAGTCCCTGTGCACTCTTTCAAATTTTCAGAGCTCTCTCTCTCTCTGTTTTCTGCTCCCACTTTCTCTCCATCCCTCTCGTCTTTCCTTTACCTATATTTTTGTCCTCCTGTAGGCCTT